AAATGGAGAAAAGAGTTATAAAACAGTGAAGTGGACATCTGTTACTTTTTGTAATCTCAGCATCCATTTTTTCCTGCTTCTGTTTACAGGCTCCTTTTTCCCCCCTTTTTTTTTTGCAAGTTGACTCCACCCTATCTGGAATCAGAGAGAAGGTTGAATAAGGCATAGGCACATGACCCAATCAAGTTTTGTCTCTCCTAGGAATTTGAATCTTGAATAGAAACGATACAAAGATAAAAAGTGGTTGGAGGAGGTATATCCAAATGGCAGTGCCCATGAGCTCTTGCTCTCTATGTCACGGAAGCTGCTTTTCCAGCGTGGCTCTTCATGTCTTCCAGCTTGGTTCTTCAGCTCTGTCACCTACCTCATATCCTTCCAATAAATTCCTTTCCAGGCTTAAGTCAGCCAGAGTTTATTTCTATTGCTTGTAAATCAAATAACCCTACTGATACAAAGTAATCTCATTTTTAAAGTCATATATAATATGGCTGTATGTATGTATATAGAAAAAAAATCCAGACATAACTATGCCAAATTAATGGAGACTGTTTGTGGGTAAAGACTGGGTGGAATGGTGAAAAGGTGAAAATGGGGTGATGCTGGTCAAATGGTGGAAAGCTCCAGTGATGCAAGATGAATAATTACTGAAGCTCTAACGCACTCACTGCAAGGTGATGATAGTTAACAATGTTGTATTGCATGCTTGTAATTTGCTAAGAGAACAGCTCTTAAATCTCCCTACCCATCCCCACGCACACATGTAACTATGTGGAGGTAACGGATACGTTAGTTAGCTTTAATGTGGTGATTATTTCACAATGCATACATATATCAAAACATCAAGTTGTATTCTTTAAATATATACAATTTTTATATTTATATTTATTTATATTCTTTAAATATATACAATATTTAGATATATATTTTACATATAAAATATATAAAATATATATATATATAATTTTATATATAAAAATTTTTATATATAAAAAAATATATATTTTATATATAAAAATTTTATATTTTTATATATATATCTCAAGAAAGCTGTTAAAAAGAACTTTCACTACTTAGCTTTACATTTTTCTGTTTTTGTGTATTTTCAGTGTTCTTGAATTACTTTTGTAAATAAAAAAGCTTTGAACATTTTCATGAAGGTGGGCCCTGGAATAAGACTAAATAAAGGAAAGTCTAGACTTTTAAGAAACATACCCTTGGCCGGGCGCGGTGGCTCACGAGGTCAAGAGATCGAGACCATCCTGGTCAACAAGGTGAAACCCCGTCTCTACTAAAAATACAAAAATTAGCTGGGCATGGTGGTGCGTGCCTGTAGTCCCAGCTATTCCCAGCTATTAGCCTCCAGCTAACCCTGGAGGCTGAGGCAGGAGAATTGCTTGAACCCAGGAGGCGGAGGTTGTGGTGAGCAGAGATCATGCCATTGTACTCCAGTCTGGGTAACGATAGCGAAACTCCATCTCAAAAAAAAAAAAAAAAAAAAAGGAAAAAAAGAAAAATACCCTTACAGAGTTATTCTTTGCTCAGCTAGCTAGAACCTAATTCTAATGAAGTCACGGATATAGTTTTTATCATTTTTGGGAGTAACTGTCTTCTATGACTTTTATTTTATTTATTTATTTATTTATTTATTTTTTTGAGACGGAGTTTCGCTCTTGTTACCCAGGCTGGAGTGCAATGGCACAATCTCGGCTCACCACAACCTCCGCCTCCTGGGTTCAGGCAATTCTCCCGCCTCAGCCTCCTGAGTAGCTGGGATTACAGGCACGCGCCACCGTGCCCAGCTAATTTTTTGTAATTTTTTTTTTAGTAGAGACGGGGTTTCACCATGTTGACCAGGATGGTCTCGATCTGTTGACCTCGTGATCCACCCGCCTCGACCTCCCAAAGTGCTGGGATTACAGGCTTGAGCCACCGCGCCCGGCCTATGACTTTTATTGACACAAATTGTCCCCTTAGGCTCAGACTTCCTCCCAATATCTATTATTAGCTTAACAATTGACACATGAAAAGAATCCCAAATAACTTATTTCCAACTGGCCATTAGCCTTTTTCATTTTTATTTTTTGACTTCTGACAAACTCAAAATGTGCAGTACTGAATCAGCTTTTTATTTAATTTAATTTTTCATTTTTTGAGATGGAGTTTTGCTTTTGTTGCCCAGGCTGTAGTGCAGCGGCATGATTTCGGCTCAATGCAACCTCCGCCTCCCAGGTTCAAGCAATTCTCCTACCTAAGCCTTATAAGTAGCTGGGATTAAAGGCGCCCACCACCACACCCGACTAATTTTTGTATTTTTAGTAGAGATGGGGTTTCACCATGTTGGGCAGGCTGGTCTCGAATTCCTGACCTCAAGTGATCTGCCTGACTCAAGTGATCCGCCTGACTCAAGTGATCCACCTACCTCAGCCTCCCAAAGTGCTGGGAATATAGGCAGGAGCCAGCATACCTGGCCTGAATCAGCTTCTTACCAAAACCTCTCTATAATTTTCTGTTTCTACATCTTCATTTCTCCTAGTGTTAAGCCCTAAAAATAATTTTGATTATGTCTTTACCTTTTCTCTCATACTTTAGTATATGTCAAGTCCTGTTTACTTTAAACTTCAAACTGCATTTCCACCCTCTGACAGCTACTACGCCAGCCTTGTCCATACCCTATTTCCTGCCACCTAATCTCCTTGCTTTTAGTCTCTTCTCTCTAATTCTGTGTTTCTCAAGCTTTTTTGTTTTTCATTATTGCTCCTATAAGGAGCCTTTTTGATCTTTTTTCTCCCTTAATCGTCCCCATCACTGAAATATTAATACCACAGGCAGACTGTGTATCTGTTTGTGCACTGCAGTACTCTGAAGCTATAATAGCATCTAAGACACTCCCCACCCCAACATTTTCACCCACTGGGGGCATCATCAGCCCCATTGAGAATTCATGTTCAAATCATTCTGCATATTATTGTCAAGCTGGGCTAATCTCTTCAAATTAAAATTTTGGCCATGTCACTGCCCTTCTCAAAAATGTTCAGCAAGCTGGATGCAGTGGCTCATGCCTCTAATCCTCACACTTTGGGAGGCTGAGGCAGGCAGATCACTTGAGCTCAGGAGTTGGAGACCAGCCTGGGCAACATGGTAAAATCCCATCTCTACTAAAAATATAAAAATTAGCTGGGTGTGGCATCGTGTGCCTGTATTCCCAGCTACTTGCGGGGACTGAAGTGGGAGAGTCACTTGAACCTGGGAGGCGGAGGTTGTAGTGAGTTGAGACTGCACCACTGCACTCCATCCTGGGCAACAGGAAAAGACTCTGTCTCCAAAAAAAATGTTCAGCAGCTCGAAGTTCTCCCTCTTCCAATAAGACAGCATGCATAAAGAGCCCAAGCCTGGCCTACATGTGTTAATACATTTTAGTTTGCTTCACCCTTTTTCCTTCTCATTTCAACGTGGCTCTCCAATAAGCCGCTATCAATTCACTTTTGCATTAACTGTGCCCGAAGTGCTTATTTCCCTCAAGTAGCCTAACAGTGGATTTTTCTCAGACTTTGATACTGTTGCCACTGTGCTAGGTCATTTATGAAGTTTTCTCTGCTTACTCCAGATCACAATGATTTTCTGTTGAACACAGTATTCTGTATTCCTCATCTCAGTGAATACTAGCATATCTATTCAACCTTCCAAATTAGAAACTTGGAAGTCACTTTTGACTTCCTCTTCTGAAATTCCCATATCCATTTGGTCAGAATTAACTGTCAGTTCTGAGTTAAGAAATGCCACTCAGCTCTAACTGCCTCTATCCCCACAGCCTCTTGTAGGCTAGAACTGGAGAAAGAGCATCCTGGCTGACCTCACTGCACTTTGCTTTTCATGACTCCCACCACTCTCTCATACTGAAGCACTCATTCTTGTTTTTTTTTGTTTTTTGAGCCAAAGTCTCGCTCTGTCAACCAGGCTGGAGTCCAGTGGCATGATCCTGGCTCACTGTAACCTCTGTCTCCTGGGCTCAAGTGATTCTCCTGCCTCAGCCTCCTGAGTAGCTAGGAGATAACAGGTGTGCCACCACACCCAGGTAATTTTTGTATTTTTAGTAGAGACAGGTTTCACCATGTTGGCCGGGTTGGTCTCAAACTCCTGACCTCAAGGGATACACCTGCCTTAGCCTCCCAAAGTGCTGAGATTACAGGTGTGAGCCACCATGCCCAGGTGATGCACTAATTCTTCAAAATAAAGAAATGTCTCATCATGTCACTCCCCTGCTTAAAAATCTCTGATGGCCATGCACTGCCTTCAGGCTAAACTTGAAATGCCTTGCCTTAAACAAGGGTCTCTACATTCTGTTTCCAACTAACATCGTTCTGCCCTCCACTCCCCACATAGAGAACTCTAGTCATACTCATCTTTTCATCAATAGCAGAGTCCTCTAAGCCCTCTCATGATTGTATGCCAATGATACTTTATTTCCATGTCTAATATGGTACCTAACATATCGTATTGTAACTAGTCTGTTACACGTTTTTTCCTGCTCTTAGACTCCAGCCATTGGAAGGCAGGGAGTATAGCTGCTTGGTATCCCTGATGTGTAGTACTCACTCTAAGAGTGCTGGATGACTGAATACATTAACTTAATTATAGAGCATCATAATGTTACTTAAATGTTTAAAGAGTCACAAAAACACAAGTCCTTGACAAGCAGGCTGAAAGCATAAATTCTCATTTCTACTTCTTTTGATTCTTCATTGTGTGATGTGGCTTATAACAGGAGTTTAATACAATTCTATTCCATGTATTTAGAAGGAGTTGATTCCTTCTTGTTCTGTGAGGGGCTTCCTCTTATCAACAGTAAGTTCATTCTGTGACTTGTTTTGTATACAGACTCTGTGTTAGCCCCTGTGCTAAAGGCTAGGGATATAGGAATGGACAAGGTAGACATGGTCACAAGCCTCATGTAGCTTACTGTCTCCTATGCCAGTGGCAATAGTTATGAGTGTAATAAATACCTCCCGAATGTTCTGCTGCTCCACCTCGTGCCGCTTGATCATTATTTTCCGCTTGAAGAAACGACAGTTTTTGTCGTAGTACAGTCTCTGTTGAGTGAGAAGGTGGGCTTCCTCTTCAGCCTGCGTGTGCTGCAAGTTCTCTTTATGCTTGGAGATCCGCTCTTGCTTCTCTTTCTTGGGTGTGCTATGGTCCTCATTCATTTCCTAAAAAGAAAAAACAAGTTGGCTTCACTAAATGAAAGGGACTGTAACAGCCTATTGCAACTGAAGATTAAGTTATTTGGAAAGCCAATGCAAACGTAAGTACAGAGAAGTTTGGTGTTAGACATCCTCCCCGCAACTGTTTTCTGCCCATTGAGCATTAAGTGAGAGGGACACTTGTGAGTTTCTGTATCTTTGGCATCTTACTCTCAGAAATTATTTGTTCACTCATTCAATCAACACAAATTTACTAAGCTCCTATCTCATGCGACAGGCACTGCGAAAGATACAGGATACAAAGGTGAGTAAAAGACCATGATATCTGCCACCATGCATCTTTATATTATAGAATCAAAAATTAAAGAACCGCAGAAATTACTGTGATCACTGCTTTGAAGAGGACATAGCTTGTCCCATAAGAATATAAAATATCTAATCTGGGTGACAACTAAGCTGAAATTTGAAAAATTAGTAGAAATTAACCAGTGGAAAAGGAGAGGGAAGAGTACCCTCAGCAGAGAAAACAGCACGTGCAAAACCCTAGGGGTGCAGGAGGAAACATGGTGCCATCAAGGGCTGAAAAAAGGTCAGAGTGGCTGGTGCAATGTAACATGAAATGAGTCTGGCCGGTAGGCAGGACCATTGAGGCTTTACGGACCAATTTAAGGACATTGATCTTTAGGACAGGAGAAACGGATTTCATGTATGTGAGTGTCATAATGAGATACATTTCAAAATGATTACCCTGGCTGCCATGGGGAGAACAGAATCAAGGAGGCAAGAACATATGAAGATAGCTGGGAGGCTATTGCAAAGATCCAGGCAAGAGAGATGATAGTAGCTTGGACAAAGGAAGTAGCGACAAGACTATGAGAAGTAGACAGGTTCTAAAGAGAAGAGGTGACTATGCAAATGTCACTAGCTTGAATTTTAGGAAAAAGCATTCTTCATTTTGGATTACAGAGTAAACAAGCCATCTATATTTTCAAAAGGACAAAATTCACAATTTTTCCAGAACATCTGAGCAAAGGAAAAAAAAAGCAGTGAATCAGAATAGTTAAAGATGTTAAACTATGATGAAAACAAGACTACTTGTTAAGAAAGTACAGTATAGGAGCAATACCTAATGTGTGTGGGGCTTAAAACCTAGAAGACAGGTTGATAGGTGCAGCAAACCACCATAGCACATGTATACCTATGTAACAAACCTGCATGTTCCGCACATATATCCCAGAAATGAAGGTAAAATAAATTAAAAAAAAAAAGTACAGTATACTCTTCTTTATTCATTTGATTAACTACTCACTCAGCTAAAATCTGCTTTAATTGCTAACACCTGGCTGGGCGCAGTGGCTCATGCCTGTAATACTAGCACTTTGGGAGACCAAGGCGGGTGGATCACAAGGTCAGGAGTTTGAGACCAGCCTGGCCAGCATGGCAAAACACTGTCTTTATTAAAAATACAAAAATTAGCTGAGTGTGGTAGCACACGCCTACAGTCCTAGCTACTCGGGAGGCTGAGACAAGAGAATCACTTGAGGGAGGCAGAGGTTGCAGTGAGCTGAGACTGCACCATCGCACTCCAGCCTGGGTGACAAAGCGAGACTGTCTCAAAAAAAAAAAATTGCTAACACCTATTTTACTTAATGTGTTGTGATGCAGATATTATAGATTATTTAATCTCTTAGCCAATAAGTCTCTGTAAATCAACTTTCAACTATCCTGTTCCAGTGAAGCTGTAAGTGAAATCTTAGAATCAACAAGACAAAGTGTTGTTTTCAGAGTAAGCTGGGATCACAAAGGAAGCCTGGGTGATTCATCTTTTCATGCCATGACTTTACTACTTGGTTTGGCATTAACCACTGGATTACAGACCCCCATTCAAATATCATCACAAAAATTGACTCCCAAATCAAGAATAAGTTATTTTTGGACCATCTATCATTCTGTTTTAGCCATACTCCTGTTATCTATCAAAAGTGGGGATTTCTTTTTTGTCATTCCAAGGACAATACCTCTATCAAGATCTAAATATACATGCCACTTTATTTTTTTATTTTTTTTTATTTTTAATTAAATTTTTTTTTTGAGACGGAGTTTCTCTCTTATTACCCAGGCTGGAGTGCAATGGCACGATCTCAGCTCACCGCAACCTCCGCCTCCTGGGTTCAGGCAATTCTCCTGCCTCAGCCTCCTGAGTAGCTGGGACTACAGGCTGTGCCACCATGCCCAGCTAAGTTTTGTATTTTTAGTAGAGATGGGGTTTTACCATGTTGACCAGGATGGTCTCGATCTCTTGACCTCGTGATCCACCCGCGTTGGCCTCTCAAAGTGCTGGAATTACAGGCGTGAGCCACCCCGCGCCCAGCTGTACATGCCACTTTAAATAGTCTGAACTAAGCTTTACTTCAGAAGAAGTAATATTAGCTTTGCATAGAATGGACACACAGAGTTAGAAATAAGGAAGGTATCTATTTATTTTATTTTATTTTTTGAGATAGAATCTCTCTCTGTTGCCCAGGCTGGAGTGCAGTGATTTGATCTCAGCTCACTGCAACCTCCGCCTCCTGTAGCCAAGCAATTTGTCTTACCTCAGCCTCCCAAGTAGCTGGGATTACAGGCGCTCGCCACCACACTTGGCTAATTTTTTGTATTTTAGTAGAGTTGGGGTTTCCCCATGTTGGCCAGGCCGGTCTTGAACTCCTGACCTCAGGTGATCCACCCACCCCGGCCTCCCAAAGCACTGGGATTACAGGCATGAGCCACCGTGCCCGGCCAAGGAATGCATTTAGAGTGGAGGAAAACCTCAAAGTTTCTTAGGCTATCTCTGTGATTCAGCAATCCTATTATGATATAATAATTAAGTTCAAGCCAATAACTCAGAGAAAATGAAAAGAATATGAACTTTCTGAGTTGGGCTATTCTCTCCACACCTGGGTTTTCAAGACTTTATGGTGTCAGAGATACTACCCCTTCAGCCAGTGTGACTAAAATACAATTTTCTGTTAGGCCTAACAATTACCAGTAGCTTAGCAGGGCAGGGCAAACAATCCCTAGGCCCACCCCAAACCCCTTGCTTTCACTTCCTAACTAAAAACGAAAAACGAACTGGAGGAGAACCTTGCTAAGCCCTGTATTGCTAACCTACAAGTTAGAATATGAGCTCAAATACGTGACCCATACTGAATTTTATTAAACCTTGATATACTTAGTAAGTCTACAAATAAGAAACTCTAAGGCTTATGAGAAGAAAAGTCCATGGAACCGAAGATGATTCCCCTGTAAGTACTGGTAAAGGGAGAACTGAAGAAATTTGAGCTTTCAGATCAAAGTTCGGTTCTTCGGGAAGAACTTCTAAGCCAACTAGTGGTCTTCAACCAAATATTCCAGAGTCAAGCATGCGTTTAGCAAATATTCAGATGTACAGGGCACAGGGATACAGTTGTGAGCAAACAAAAACATGGTCTGTGCTCTTATGATGCTTACCAGTTAGTAGAGTAAGTAGCTGGAATAATCATTAAACAAATGTATAATTAAAACCTCTAGTGTTAGGAAACCAGAGACATCTGTCTTGGTTGAGGCAGTTAGAAAAGGCTTCCCTAGGGAAGTGATATTTGAGTTAAGATCCTAATAACCAATCCTGGGTCTTACAAGGAGAAGTAGGAAGTAACCAAGCAGAATTGTGGTCAGGGAAGGCTTGGGGGTAGGGAGAACATCTTGGCAGAAGAAACAGTATGTGCGAAGACCTTGGGGAAGGGTGGAGCTTGATAAATTTGAGGAACTGAAAGGTGACCATGGCTGGTGCAACAAGGAGTGGGTCAAGGGCAGGGGCAGCACTGGTATGAGATGCAACTGAAGGAGAAGGTTAGGAGGAGACCGTGTAGGGACTTCTAGAATTCTGACTTATCCTAAAAGCAATAAGAAGGTACTAGATTTCAAAACTATGAAGTAGTATGACCAGATTTACAGTTTGAAAAGATCACTTTGACTGGTGTGTGAAAAACACATAGGAAGAAGACAAGGATGGCTTAGAGTTATATCAATAGTTCCTGAAATGTAGTCCGTCAACCAGCAGCATCAGCGTCATCTGGAAACTTGTTAGAAATGCACATTTTCAAACTCTACCCCAAAAAATCTAGGGGTAAACAGTGATAGAGTTTTAAAATCTGAAAATCTAGGGGTGGGTTAGCAATCTGTTTTAACAGTATTTTAGGTAATTCTTTTTTTTTTTTTTGAGATGGAGTTTTGCTCTTGTTGCCCAAGCTGGAGCGCAGTGGCATGATCTCGGCTCACTGCAACCTCTGCCTCTTGGCTTCAAGCAATTCTCCTGCCTCAGCCTCCCGAGTAGCTGGGATTACAAGCGTGCACCACCACGCCCAGCTAATTTTTGCATTTTTAGTTGAGACGGGGCTTTACCATGTAGGCCAGGCTGATCTCCAACTCCTGACCTCAGGTGATCCACCTACCTTGGCCTCCCAAAGTGCTGGGATTACAGGCATGAGTCACTGTGCCCGGCCAGCATTTTAGGTTATTCTAATGTAAAGTTTGAGACTTACTGGACTAGAACATTGATCACAATGCAAGATGAGTGAATTTTAAGTTCCAACCAATCTAATGGCAACTTGGTGAGAACAAACACTAGTAACCTTACCTCTTTTATTTTTTCCTTACAAATCTTGTACTGCTTCTTCTGACTTTCTAAGAAAGTTGTCAAGTCTTTCTTCTGCTGGGCCAAGATCTGTTGCTGGAACTTCTTCTCATCTGCTGCAGCTACCTTTGCCTGATAAAATAACAAATACAATATAGGATGAATCTATTCTTCACACAGAATTCAGTGGTCTATATTCTCCAACGCAGTAAGAGAGTCCATAAGTGCTAACAATGTGACATTTTTAAACAAATTATAAAAAATAATTTTTTCTGATTTTCTTGTATCTTAAACAACAAAAAAAGTTTTCATCATTGAAAAATACATTCTGAATTATGGGAAAAATATTAAGGTGAACTATAAAATATTTTATGGAACATAAAAATATTCATGGGATAAAAGGAGTCCTAAGAAAATTTTTTTTTGAGACAGGGTCTCGCTCTGTCGCTCAGGCTACAGTGCAGTGACACGAGCATAACTCACTGCAGCCTAAAATCCTGGGATCCAGTGATCCTCCTGCCTCAGCCTCCTAAGTTCCTGGGACCACAGGCATGCAGCACCAGTCCTAGCTAAGTATTTTTTGAAAATTATCATAGAGACTGTGTCCCAATACGTTGCTAGGATCATCTCAAATGCTTGGCCTCAAGCTATCCTCTCTCCTCAGCTTCCCAAAGTGCTGAGATTACAGGCATGAGCCACCACAGTGGGTCAGAACTAAGGAATATAATAAAGGTTTTTAAAACATATTGTTGGTAGCCCAAAGGTTAAGTTGTCAAAATGTATAAATAACCACACTGGCCAGTTTTTTTCCAAGAATCAAACTCTAACTGATTAATTATTCCAACTATCATATTTTCCAGTGGGATCATCTCAAGTGTAATTGGAGAGCTAATGGTATTTTGTTTTCTTTCTCTCTCTTTTTTTTTTTTTTTTGAGACAGTGTCACTTTCTCACATAGGCTGGAGTGCTGTGGCACGATCTTGGCTCACTGCAACCTCCACCTCCCAAGTTCAAGTGATTCTCATGCCTCAGCCTCCTGAGTAGCTGCGATTACAGGCATCCGCCACTGCACCCGGCTAATTTTTGTATTCTCAGTAGAGACAGGGTTTCACCATGTTGGCAAGGATGGTCTCAAACTCCTGACCTCAGGTGATCCACCCGCCTCGGCCTCCCAAAGTACTGGGATTATAGGCAGGAGCCACCATGCCAGGCCTGGCATTTTGTTTTCTTAGGCACCTGCTGCAATCCACAACAGTCACACATCATGACACTTTTTAGGGTCCTAAATGAATAAAACACAGACTACATAAAAGGTAATCCAATAAATACTGGCTTCCGAAAGTGACCAAATCTGTTTCTGGTAACCATTGGGTGAAGTATATATGCAAGATGAGTGACTTAGGAGATAAAGCGGGAATTATGCTTCATGGCTCATTTTTATGTATCTTTTTCACCTGCAACTTCCATTATGGACAATTCTCACAACATATTTACCAAGTCAAATCCCAAGAAAGAATCTGACTGATTTATTTAATCAACATCATCCCTGTCTGGGCAGAGGTTTTCATGCCAGACTGCCTCACAGATTGACAGCTGTTGGGGAAATGTTTCTTCTACAACCTGATGGTTCCTTCCATGTGGACACACACACACATGCTGGGGGGCACGGGGGCAGTGGAGAGAGAGAACACCAACTCAATTATGAAAACACCCTGACACCATGTCCCCAGTCACTTCATCCCCAGGGAGCACATGTCCACCATATTTTTTCCACACTATGGAAGTCTCATGGGGGTGGCAGGAAAGGTGAGTCGATTTTAGCACTGCCTGGGCAGGCAAGTCTGCTTAATTTTGTTTTCCTACAGACATAAATCACCTCTCGTACCTAACATGTATCAGTAATGAAGATGATATTATGACTATCTGCCTTACTCTTTTTTTTTTTCTTTCTTTTTTTTTGAGACAGGGTCTTGCTCTGTCACCCAGGCCACAGTGTAGTGACACAATCTCGGCTCACTGCAACCTCTGCCTTCTGGGCTCAAGCAATCCTCCTGCCTCAGCCTCCCAAGTAGCTGGGACTATAGGCACGTGCCCCCACACTCAGCTAATTTTTGCACTCAGCTAATTTTTATATTTTTTGTAGAGACGGGGTTTTGCCGCATTGTCCAAGCTGGTCTTGAACTTCTGGGCTTAAGAGATCCACCCACCTTGGCCTCCCAAAGTGCTGGGATTATAGGGTGTAAGCCACCATGCCTGGCCTTGTCTGCTTTTAAAATTAGTTTAGAACCTGGATGGAGAAGAGAGATGTTCCCTAGAAAACTCAAACAATTGCCGGACTCATTATTTGTTCCCTTTGGTCAGGGGCCCATCAGCTGTAGGCAAGGATTATCACCACTATAAGAGACTATCTGTAGAGCAGCTTTATTTTGAAAAGGACTATGGGTGTGGCAGATATAGTAACAGACTTGTGTTGTGCACTTTCTCAGAAGATAGCAGCATCTTGTTTCCCTTTACTTATACCCAGGCCACCATCAAGGGACTGATACTCAGAATATATTTGAATGGACATAAATGTAATACACATTTTCAGTTGCTATTTTAGCTCTGAATAACAATTTTATGTAATTCCCATAAAATCTGGAAACCCAATTCCCTCTCCCCCATCACCAGCAACAGTTTTCCTCCATCCCCGACTCCTGCCTCCTGCTAACATCCTGCCACTGACCCCAACAGGCCGGGCTTGGTTGTGGCATGAAGGTGTGTGTGCACACACTGACCTCCTTTTCTATGATAGCTACTTGCTTCTTGGCCAGCTTCTCCAGCTCGATGGACGAGTTGTTGGCATGCGTCTCCACCTCCTTCTGTAGCTTGAGGCGGTGCTCGTCCATCTCAGCCTTCAGCTTGTTCTCCAGGGCGATCAGCTGCTTCTGGTGCTGGCGCCGCATCCGCTTATAACCTGACATCTGTTCCCGCAACTCGTTCTCCTGCTCATGCTCATGGATCTGTCGTGTAACCTGAATTTGGGTGGGAAACAGAATTCAGGTCACCAGGTTCATGGGAGACAAGCTTCCAGGAAATGTAGAAGGGCCCTGCGGCATAATTTTATCTATCACCTTCACCATCAGTTTGCCTACTGTTTCTGTGAATGCTCACCTGTAGGAGGCACTGTGTTGGATAATCTTTCTGCATGTTATTCCTAGTCCTCAAAACCATCTCATTTACTCATTCATTTCATTCACGAGGTAGGTGATACCATCTCAGTTTTTTTTTTCCCATGGAGTCTCACTCTGTCACCCAGGCTGGAGTGAGGTGGCGTGATCTTGGCTCACTGCAACCTCCATCTCCCAGGTTCAAGTGATTCTCCTACCTCAGCCTCCCAAGTAGCTGAGACTATAGGCATGTGCCACTGCACTCGGCTAATTTTTTTATTTTTAGTAGAGATGGAGTTTCACCATGTTGACTGCACTGGTCTTGAACTCCTGACCTCAGGTGATCCGCCCATCTAGGCTTCCCAAAGTGCTGGGATTACAGGCATGAGCCACTGTGCCTGGCTACCATCTCAGTTTTATAGATGAAAAAACTGAGTCTTGAAAGAAACTATTCAGGTCGGGAACAGTAGCTCACCCCTGTCGTCTCAGTACTTGGGAGGGTGAGGTGGGCAGATCACTTGAGGTCAGGAGTTGGAGACCAGCCCAGTCAACATGGTAAAACCCCATCTGTACTAAAAATACTAAAATTAGCCAGGCATGGTGGCAAGGACCTGTCATCCCAGTTACTTGGGAGACTGAGGCAGGAAAATTGCTTGAAACCGGGAGGCAGAGGCTGCAGTGAGCTGAGATCAGGCCATTGCACTCCAGCCTGGGCAACAGAGACTCTGTCTCAAATTAAAAAAAAAAAAAAAAAAAGAAGGCTGGGCACGGTGGCTCACGCCTGTAATCCCAGCACTTTGGGAGGCCGAAGCCGGTGGATCAAGAGATCGAGGCCATCCTGGTCAACATGGTGAAACCCCGTCTCTACTAAAAATACAAAAATTAGCTGGGCATGGTGGTATGTGCCCGTAATCCCAGCTACTCAGGAGGCTGAGGTAGGAGAATTGCCTGAACCCAGGAGGCAGAGGTTGTGCTGAGCCAAGATCGTGCCATTGCACTCCAGCCTGGGTAATAAGAGCGAAACTCCGTCTCAAAAAAAAAAAAAAAAAAAAGGAAAGAAAGAAAAAGAAAAAAGAAAAAAAGAAAAGAAAGAAAAAGAAAAAGGAATTATTTATTCAGTCAAAATGTGTTTACACATTTTTGACAAACCATCATATATATTATATGTTCACAGTAACATAGCTAATAAGGACTGGATTGGGAATCAGGCCCACCTCTGTCTGATTCCAGAGCCATGTTATTTCTACTATACCAAGATTTCCAACCAACACTACTGACAATGAGCCAGATAATTCTCTGTTGTGGGGGTCATCCTGTACACTGCAGGATGTTTAGCAGCATCCCTGGCCTCTACCCACTAGATGCCAGCAGGACCTCCCATGATATGACAATGAAAAGTATCTCCAAAGTCCCCTTGGACATGAAATCCCTCTAGTTGAGAACTACCACACTGGTTTGTTTTCTGTTTTTTTCTTTTAAGGATCACGTCTCTAACAGTCATAGACCTTTTAAACTAGTCTGAATGTGATTTATTTCCTATTCCTAATATGAAGAGGTGAGTATGAGATAAAGAGATCTCTTAAATCATGTCTACCCTGTCCCCTTCTCTACAAAAGAAATGTTACCAAATTATAATACATCCACTTGCTCTCCTAAAGAGGATAAAGCATTGCTATGATTTTTGGAAGGTTATTTTTCTTAGTAACTTTAACTCATTTTCAAGTAAATATTGAACAAATTAAAGCTTGTAAATGTACATTTTAGTACCTCTTGTTCCTTTCTATTAAATCTTTTGTGATTTTGTAGTCCCTCCTTCCATTTATCTTCTCTCTTTATTTTCCTGATCACTTCCTCCTCATTTTTCCTATTTTAGGAAAAAAACCTTAATTTCAGGATTTTGTTTTATTTTATTTTTTTGAGATGGAGTTTCACTCTTGTTGCCCAGGCTGGAGTTGCAATGGTGCAATCTCAGTTTACCACAGCCTCCGCCTCTCAGATTCAAGCGATTCTCCTGCCTCAGCTTCCCAAGTAGCTGGAATACAGGAGCCTGCAAGAACACCAGGCTAATTTTGTACTTTTAGTAGAGACAGGGTTTCCTCCATGTTGGTCAGGCTGGTCTCAAACTCCCCACCTCAGGTGATCTGCCCACCTTGGCCTCCCAAAGTACTTGGATTACAGGCGTGAGTCATTGTGCCTGGCCTAATTCCAGGATTTTTATTTTAGTTTTGTTCTTCACTACGTGATTTGGTCACTCCTATCTACTATAAGCCCCATCTTCCCAACCTAACACCCAAACAAGTTTTACAGGAGAATTTCATGCTGCTATTAATTTTCTGTACTATTTTCAGTTTACGGGTTAAAGTACATTTTATACAAAGAAGATTTTGTTTCTATGTACTTTTTAGAAGGTGGCCCTGCTTACTAGATTGCATCCTCATTATCAAGAGAGTACTGTTCTGTAACTAGATAGTATTATCAAAATACACCATTAAACATTAGCCAAACTTTGAACCCTTTCCAGCTGAAACTAACACTAGGTGTCATATTCATTTCTCTTTTCTGAAGGATAATATTCTTTAAAGTATTAGGAATTAGAGCAGAGGATATTTCAAGACCAAAAAGGGTAGTATCACCCAAAAGGCACCTAATCCTCTAAAGAAAATAAATGATCTATTTTGTTATCAGAAAATGTGTTTTTAAAGAGACCTATTTCAAGATAAAAGGAAGAAAAGAAGTCGTTTGAAATATATGTATCAATTTTACTTCTTCATGATTCTATGTTTCTGAAGTACAACTTTAAGGAGAAAACAATTCTAATCAATAGAAAGGATACCATTTAGCCCTTTCTGAATTTAACTGTTTTTCTGCAAAATATGGCAGTAAAGTATCCGGGCTAGGGTAATGAATTTTAGATATATTTTAGCTAGATACTTTTTCTTATTTTAGTATTCCTTCTTTAATCAGATTCCCAAAGCTGAGGCATGGCACAATCTAAGCTATCAAGACACATTTAAAACTTGCCAACAGCATTGGCTTACAGCCAATAAAATATTCTCAGGATGGTCATTTCCCTAAACCAGGAGGCCTAAAGATAAAAGGGAAATGAGTTGTGTCAAGAAATTTTTCTATCTTAATTGATGGGTGGGTCTCTGTAAAGAGGGTGGCCTTCTACTTGTACCAGATCACACCTGGTACAAGGATGTGGCAAAGAAAGATTACAAAGCTCAATCTGCTATATTGTACATCACTGAATTCCAGGAGAGACATTTTGCTTTTGAATGCTTCCCATTATGCGGATAATTACCTTCTTGAACTCCTAATATCACCTTCCATTTGTCACAACTAAACTTTCTAAGTTTTAAATTGTCTTTTCTGTGTACATAGAGATGTCAAACTTTATAATTCCATGTTCAAGCTGGATAGATGAATTTAAATAAAAGTATAACCGGATATTTCAGTTGTAAAGTCTAACATGAAATATACAAAAAATATGTTATTTACAGGTATATGTGCCTATGGGTCTTAAGTGTACATGTGAGTTTTAAGAATACACTATTTGGTCAATGAAATAAAAAATAATTGCCCATAACTTTTTCAGACATATGGTTTTAAAAGTGCTTTCACATATAATTTACTTCTTTAATTTTTAGAAGGCCTTGTATTCCTACGGTTCTTGAATTGCCTGAGGAAATTGGAATCACCAAGGCAGAAAAAGAGTGACTACTTTCTGTTATAAAGTAATAGAGGGAATCAACATCCAAAAAAGTCACAGCTACAGAAAGTGGTAAGTGTAAATTACAAATTGAATAAGTCTGAAATGGAAGAAAAATGTAATATATATATAAAGATGTAGTGACTGTAGTTTTTACAATGGCAGTCCCAAAAACTGTGATTAACTAAAAGTGGGCAGTACCGCCTTCTTGCTGCAGCCAGTGGGTTGCATGAAGAAAAATCTCATCTATCTCTTACTATATAACTGACCTTGGGCAAATTACTTAACCTCTCGAAGTCTCTCTGTTTCTTAATGTGTAAAGAGAGAGGAACTACTACTGTCTTCCTCAGGGTCAGAGGACTTTCATATGTGAAAGTGCCTAGCAGGGTGTCTAACTCCCAGGAAATGTTCAATGTATGCTGGTTTCCTTCCTTCTGATGCCAGGCTCTGCGAAGCATGTCCCTTTGCCCTCCACTTAGTATTTCTGGTGATGGAGACATAGATCAGAATAAGTGGATCCAGGAGAAAGGGCACATTTAAGGAACAAAAATCTATCTGTATCTAGATTGTGGATTATAAGATTATATGTAATTTCTGAATCTGAATTATTACTCATTTCATGTATCTAGAATATGTAAAATATAATAAACAAATAAATAATAAATAATGAGTCATGGAAAGGAAGACCAGAACTTTTTTTCTAAAGGTTCCTACAGCCGTTCAATGCTTCTTTATTTAATTCCAGCATAATTCGGTCCCAAAACAAACCACTTCATCCAAAGTGCAGCATGTCTCTACCGTGTATAAAACACTGCACTAGAAGGCTAATAAGCAACTTCCTGAACATAAAACAAGAGCATGGCTGATAATGTTACCCTCTTAAGAGATCAAAGCCAACTTATAAGATTAATAATATGTTAAGAATCAAAATGATGCATATGATAAAAGTGGCCACCTCAGCACTTAGAACAAATGAAATTTATAGCAAGTTCTTAAAAAGAATACAGTGAGTCATATTTTGGCATTAGAAATTTAACATTCTATTCTTTAGAATACCTAAGGAAAAACTGTTTTTAAGTTTTTGCTAAAACTGATGACTGATAACAGACAATTCTGCCTTTATGAAAGAATATGCTATATGAAGAATTCTGAAATGCAAACTTATATATCCAAATTCTGATGTGATAGCAGGGCTGGAGCTGACCTCATTCATTTGTTCATTCATTTATTCAACACACATTTATTGAGAGACTTTGATCATATGGGTTGGACAGGTAGACTGGACAGTACAAGTGAGAAATGGTATCAGCAATGACCGTAGTGAGTTAAGAAGCCAAGAATGAGGAAAGAGACGTGCAATATTTTGATAAGCATCCTATGGTACACTGTCCAGGAAGAGAACACATTTTCAAGCATTTAGAAACAGAACTAGCCTCATGAGAGCTGAAACAGTAGCATTTACTGCTGAGGCTCTCATAGTTTTATTCTTATGTATCAAGTTCATTCAGGTATCCAATTTCACAATTAGCTGAATTATTAGGGTGCATTTTAAAAACTCCAAATGAAGACTCTTTTAATGAGTTTTTCTATCAAATCTGGCCAAGCCAAGTAGAAGAATCTATATTTGCATGTAGAGAATAATAATACTTTTCTCCTACATGCCTCCTTGGGGATTCCCCTCTTGTGCCCTTCTCCCTGACATGTATTCTAACATAAATTTGCCTGTGTAATGCAGTCACAGGTAAATTGTATTAGAACATAGATTAGGAAGAGGGGCAGTGAGAATTTTTTCACAAAGTCAAAAGCTGAACTCTGATAGATACGATGCTCTTGATATTAATATCTCTACCATGGAAATAGCCAGGAACCTGGGACATTTTAAAGTTTTCAGAAGAAATGACATCAGATGTAGCAACAGCTGAAAACACCCTCATGAGTCACTAATTTTATTAAAATATTAGGCATTCCATAAAAAATCAAGGAAGGCACATCTCAAAGGCCCAAGAAGTCAGATTAGTAATTCTGCAGAACTATGCAAACAACTCCTTTTTCCAGATAACACATCAGCCCAGAATGAACTTCCCTACAGAAGAGGAAAAAGAAAGGTTAAAATAAAGATGCCATGAAATGCCCTTCCTTTTCCTAATTCTTCAAAATAAAGGCAATAATCTCTGCCCTTAGAAAATTATAATAAAAATTATACAATTATAATAAAAATTACAATCTAAAGTTTTCTTAGGGTTTCCTCTGGTATCAAGGTTTATGGTCCTTCCTTATCCTTTGTTACAAATGCAACTGTGCAGCAGTACCTAATACAAAAATCTCAGTTTTAAGGTGCTAAGATAATAAAGACATGTAGCAGTACAGGCTCATAGCCCATGGGATTCTTCATATACACATCAATAACTTCATTCGAAAGCACAATGTTGAAAGTAGTACTAAGGGGGAAAAGCACAAAGCCAGGACTCTTTTAGGCTCATGTTGAAGAGGTAGGCTCACAAACAGATTTTAGGAAGAGTAATATTTTTGTCAGTTTGCAAGCCAATTGAAAATATGCATTTCATCATTTTTTTTATCAAGTAATTGAAAAACTAATTTCTAAATTCCTTCTTTTTCCTGTTCACCTTTGGACCTCTTTGTGACTTGTTAGCACCTCTACTAAAAGATGCTAAAGAAAGAATAAAACCAAAATAAATGAATAAATATAGTATTGCCACCAACCATTAGAAGTAAGGCAAGGTTTCAACAATGACTTGATTTTTTTTTATTATACTGGACTTCCACTTTCCCATGATCTTGCTCTTACTTTTATGTCATTTATGTCATTTTAGTCTTTTTCATTTGAGCTGGGATCCATAAAGCAATAGGATTCATAATATATCTTTAAAAATTAAATATTCTATGCTATTCTAGTATCCTGATTTATATACTCCCATTAGACTTTAAAATAATATAGTGGGTAGTAGAATTGTAGTACTTGGCAATATACATTAAAAAATCCATACCAATAGTTAGATTGTTCAAAATGGGACATGGAATCATGCAACACCATACCTTTTCCCTTCCATTTTTTTTCCTCCCTAAAAACCACTAGATACAAATACCACTGAACTCTGATAAACTGCCATCAATCCCAACCACGACTCCCCAAGCACTACGTTTAGAGAGGGTGCCCCACAAAAAACAACTTATTTTGTGGCTAAAGCAACAGCATATCAGCTGCTCTGTTTTTAACTTAATATAGGAGCAGGAGCCTTTTAGCAAATCAAAACTTCATTAGAGAAACTGGTTGCAGCTGTTCTCTGGATGGGCACTAGGAAGACTGCAGGATTCAGAGGGTTCCTGAGGACACTGCCCATAGCCCTGAGGTGGCCTAGTAGGGAAGCAGCTTTTATCATCCACAGAGAGGAAGACTGTGATGGCTGATACACACACAGAGTAGTCCTGGGTGAGTTCATAGATGCCAGTGTGAGATTATTTTGGTATGGCTGTAGTAATCTCTTGCTGGGAGGTAGGAGAGGTTATGAATATATGATGTGGGAATGAGGGTGTGGCAAGAGAGAAAAGAGAACCTGTCCCAGAGGGGGAAAGCCACTTGGTATAATGTCTGCTTCACATGTAAAACCGCTGATGGTGCTCGGATGCTCAGAGCTTGTTATCATTTCTCCTCTCATTTCAACATAAACAAGTATGGATAAAGGTACAAGTCTCATATGAGTCGGTGGTAAGTAGTCATAGTTCTCTAAAGCACCATATTTCTTCTTTTGACAGATATCATGGCATGAAGATAATGATTATTTGATAATCTCATGATGCTTTATCCAGACTCAAAAGCATATTTTTAGGTGCTCAACAATCATTAGCAAATACATACTGGACATTTTAAGATCTCCATTACACAGTGTAGCATTCCTTTCAAATGAAAAATTGCTCATCAAAGGGATTATAAGAAACTTCTACATAAAGGAACTTAAAAGTGGGCTTATTTATAAGCAGTCAAAATTAAATTGCTTGCTTTTAGACAGTAGCAGGCATAGCAATATGTAGGTGCTTTAACTTCCATTTTTCCTTGTATTTGGGTTTTTAAAGGTTGTAATACATTATAAATCCCAAAGATAACCGAAGCCTTTAAAAGACTTGAGAAATAAAGTAGAAATCAGGTTTAAAAAATAGGACAAGAAAAATGATCATTTCTGGGTCGGCCTCGGATGATGTCATCATAGGTTCTAAATGTAATAGCCAAGCAGTGTACACTAACTCTTCCTGCCCATGTGACCTCTAACATCAATTTGGGCAAAACAACTAATATTTCAATAATTTTTTGGCTGAGAAGTGAGATTCAGAAGGAAAAGATTAAAGAGAGTTTAGAGTGGCAAGGATGAAACGATGTGAGTGTGTGTGTGTGTGAGTGTGAGCGCGCACGCGCACGCGTAGGGGGCCGAGGGGAGGAGGCATGAAAACTAACTCTTCCAGCACACACCCCTTTTGCTACTACAAGGGCATCCAGCAATCACATTTGCAATAGTAAAAATGCTGAAGAATCCTACAGTCTCTTTTCTTTCACAATCAGCACTATCCTCTCCTACAAAGCCCTTCTTGCTTTATTGGTGCCAGGAAATTCTTCAGGGGTTAAATGGGGAAGTGCAGCCACTACCATTGTTGCAATAAATAAATGAATGAACCAGAACGAACCAGCAATCCATCCCTGGGAAGCAAGTATCTTATTTTCTACAATTAGATACATTAGCCAGCAACCATATATTTTTAAAAATTATATTTTATCTTTTGATGTGTGTGTATACATTATAGACACATATGTATCTATAGAAAAAGAAGCACAGTACCCTGCATACATATACATCAATACCTTAAAAAATTTTAGCATTATTTATTTTAATGAAAAGACAAATAGCTTTTAAAAAATTGGACATGCTAGCAACTTCATCTCAAAGGCCCTATATTTTGCACATACAGCATATAAAAACACACACACATACACATACACACACACACACACACACACACACACACACACAAAGGTTTTTTTTTTCCCATGCCATAGACAATGCTAAAATATCTGAAATCAGGTTGCTATGCCAACAGATTTTTTTTCCTAAAATGAATAAAATTATTAGGAGAGAGAAAACATTCTTGACTCTTTTCCTCCCATCCATGAAGCCGAGAAAGGCTCAGGGAGGGCGAGAGGCTGCCAGATGGGGAGGAGGGGAAGGAAGGGAAGGTGGGTAGAGGGGTGTTTGCTTACCAAAGATGCTGATTTGATCGTGGCAAAGCGCTCTCTGTTCCGGTAGTGGAGGGCCTGGCTCTGAACTGACTGGGTAGGCCGCGGCTCAGGCCTGGGATCGCCGTGGCCCGCCTCATCCCTTATGAATACATGATCCTGCAGAAATGGATAAAAACAAGGAGAAAGTCCAGCTGTGCTCTTTCCTCGCCGGCTGCCTCTCTCTCACCCCTCTTTCTGCACAAGCACTGCTGTTTGAAATGCATAGTTTAGCTCTCTGCTAGTCCCCGCAGCTCCCACGGTACAAAATGAATAAGCAACACATTGCAGCCTTCAGTTAGGAATGTCAGCTGATCGCTAGTGGGATGCCTTCTGAATCCCTGGCAGGCTTTTTCTTTACCTCCAGAATTACATATATGCAAAAGAAAAAAAGAATAGAAAAAACAATGCAATGTAAAGACTCCTTAGAACAGTTTGCTTAAAACGCTGTAACCAGATAATTCCTTTAAAAATGTCATGTCCATGTCTAGCAAGGAGGATGCTGGTGGCTTTTAACATAAAAGCGAGCCTCCGCCTCATTCCCTTGAAAGATCTGCTTTCTCAATTTAATTTTATTTGAGATCTGTTCTGTAGGATCATCGTTCTGCCTAGAACCAATGTAGGCTTGTGCTGAACAGCCTCTCTATCTTGTGCTGGGAAGATTCGGCAGTCACTGAGGGATCCTGCTTTCCAGTCATGATCGTACACAGTTCTAGCACCTTCTCTCTACAGCTTCTGAAAGGATTTTTTTTTAGATTTAAAGAGACAGGCGTACAATTTTAACCAAATGATACTTTCACAAATTCTTCTTCAACTCAGCATCGGTATGGTCACCAGAGTGAGTAAAGCTGGAATTTAATGTCCTTGACTGATTTAATCAAGCCCAGGTTTTCTGATAGGCAAAGATAATTAATCTTGTTCTAATGCCCAGTGAAAAAATAGCATTCCCTGGAAGGATAATAATGGATGTTTCTTAAATGCAACTGAAATGACTTTTAAAGGGGAAAATGCTTTCAAAGGACGATGTTCTTCTCTATAAAAGATAAAGTGGTCAGTCATTAAGTGGCTATAACCCTTCAAAAAAAAGGACACGATAGTAATTTGTACCTCAAAAACATGTACAACCATGGGGGCTTTTAAAATAGTACATGTTCAGGATGGGAAAGGAAAAATTAATTCCTTATTTCCCTAGGGTTTTAGGAGAAACCATTTGTCAGAAGTCAATATTGCATTTTATCTATGACCACTTGAAATTTTTTATCATGGCTCTTTTCTTCATCATGAAACAAAAAGAAGTTTAGAAAATACAAAATTTTATTATAATCTAAAATTTTGAGGGAAATTAAATTTTACATCCAGATTTTTATGTAAAAGCCAAGACCCAAGATTAAATTGGACTGATTTTCTTTTTCCTTTTATAAATTTAAAATGCTTTGATGTATTGGGAAGGTATCTACCATTACACCTATATTGAGAATGTTTTAAAATTTTTGTATTATAGCTCAAATAATGAAGAGATCTTTAATAAACTTGCCATTGAGGGCATATATATCAAATTCAAGTATATGCTATGGCCATGCTGTCCAATAAGATAGTGACTAGCCACATATGACAATTTTAATTAAAAATTAAAATTAATCAAAATTAAATCCAAAATTCAGTTCCTAAGTCATATTAGCTATGTTTCAAGCACTCAGTAGCCATAGTTAGTGGGTACCGTATCAGATGGTGCAGATATAAAATAGTTCCATTGGAGAAGTTCTATTAGACCTTGCTGTGGGTTAAAAATGAATCTCTTAACCCATGTTTTTAAAAATTATAAGAAAATGTTTGAAGGGTCAGTTAAAATTAGTCTATATAATTTCTCATGAATTTGAACTCTTATTTCACAAGAAGAGCGAGAACATGTGTAACTGAGATTCATGCACTAGGTTTAAGGTTCTAAAGAAGGCAGCACTGAGACCTGATACCATTTACATTACTGCATATTTGCTATTAAATTATGTTTATGTCCAAAATTCAACTTAATATTACAGTCTCAGAAAAGAAAGCGGCTCTTAAATGCCAGCGATCAGAAGAGATATGCTAGGTAGAGGCCTGTGATATTATAGGAGGCCTTAACAAGTTGCTAACTTACTAAGTGCAGTGATTGAGAAGGAGACCTCAAATATGTGGGCAACGGCTCAGTTTCACATTGTAGTAACTTGATTTATAAGGATAAGCAATGACACCAGAATCCACATTGTCCACATAACAGACCAAAACAAAATTTATTCATGTACCAAAATATGTGTAATTGTATTAGTTTGTTTTATCTCTGATAAATATTAACACCTCAGAAACATGGTTTAGGGCTCTGCTTCTCCAATTAAAAGCCGTAATGTACTTTCTAAGTTTACTAAACTTGAGGAAGTTGAAGTACACCGGAAAAGTTAAAACTTGAAATGACATTTATTTTAGTTGATATATATGTAATTAAATAACTCAAGTATATTATAAAATAGTGCTATTTTTGTAGTCCAAAGAATAGGTTCAAAATTTTAATCCACTTTAAATATAATAATGCTAACAATATAATTCTTTGCTTCCCCCTAAATTTTTTTACTTTTATAAAATAATTCTTAGTTTTCCAGATTAATTTCATAACAGAGATCACCATCACTAAAAGTCTTCAAATACTATACAAGAAACTAAAAAATGGGACAAAATTTTAGTCTAACAGTGGATATTCATTTTAAGTGCATTGAAAATGAATTTTAAAATATTCAATTCCACTGCATAAAACAGGTTCAAAACTCCAAAGACAGCTTATGAAGCTATTTAAAAATGGGAGAATGTAACTTGAGAAGTAAGCCCAAAGAAATTAAAGTATCAACTTTACTGGAAATATTTTCTGTTGGTTATACTGTGCCTTTAAGTAAGAGTCTCTTTGTAAAGGAACACTATACCTGGCTCCCAGTGTTTCTGAACTGCACATATCTTAAGATGAACAATGGAAAGGGTTAATTTATATTTTTACGCAGTTATGCACTAGATGCAGATTATTTACAAATGATAAGACTGAAATTTTCAAAGAAAGATTTTAGAAGATTAAGAATAATAAATCTATTTTGTCAAGGCAAAATATATGGCATAGTTATAATTTATCTTTAAAACATTATCATCCAGAAACAAACAAAAATAACTCCTTGAAATATCAGTTTTTGTTTTTTTTTTTGAGACGAGTTTTGCTCTTGTTGCCCAGGCTGGAGTACAATGGTGCGATCTAAGCTCACGGCAACCTTCGCCTCCCAGGTTCAAGTGATTCTCCTGCCTCAGCCTCCCGAGTAAATGAAATTACAGGCATGCGCCATCATGCCCGGCTAATTTTGTATTTTTAATAGAGATGGGGTTTCTCCATTTTTGTCCAGCTGGTCTCGAACTCTTGACCTAGGTGATCTGCCCACCTTGGCGTCCCAAAGTGCTGGGATTAAAGGTATGACCCACCATGTCTGGCCTGAAATAGCAGTTTTTTTTTTTTTTTTTTTAGATGGAGTCTTACTGTGTCACCCAGGCTGAAGTGCAGTGGCTTGATCTCCACTCACTATAACCTCTGCCTCCTGGGTTCAAACAATTCTCCTGTCTCAGCCTCTGTAGTAGTTGGAATTACAAGTGCCCACCACCATGCCCGGCTAATTTTTGTATTTTTAGTACAAATGGGGTTTCACCATGTTGGGCAGGCTGGTCTTGAACTCCTAACCTCAAGTGATCTGTCCGCCTCATCCTCCCAAAGTGCTGGGATTATGGGCGTGAGCCACTGTGTCTGGCCTGAAATACCAGTTTTAAGTAAACCTATGTTAACCTGATAAACTTACCACATTGGTTTTTTGTTTGTTTTTGAGACAAAGTCTCACTCTGTCACCCAGGCTGGAGTGCAGTGGCACTATCTTGGCTCACTGCAGCCTCTCTACCTCCTAGGTTCAAGTAATTCTCATACCTCAGCCTCCTGAGTAGCTGGGACTACAGGCGCACACCACCATGCCTGGCTAATTTTTTTGTATTTTAATAGGGACAGGGTTTCACCATGTTGCCCAGGCTAATCTCAAACTCCTGAGCTCAGGCAATCTGCCTGCCTTGGCCTCTCAAACCGCTGGGATTACAGGCACAAGTCACTGTGCCCAGCCTACAACACTGTTCCATCATAAAAAAGAAACTTCTTTGAATTAAAAAGGAAGCTGTCAGGCTGGGCACAGTGGCTCACGCCTGTAATTCTAGCACTTTGGGAGGCTGAGGTGGGAGGATCACCTAAGGTCAGGAGTTCGAGACCAACTTGGCCAACATGGAGAAACCCCATCTAAAAAAAAAAAAAAAAAAAAATTAAAAAAAAAAGGAAGCTGTCATAATGTTTGTTCAAAATCTTTAGTAAAAAGAATTTCTACAAGAACAAAATATGTGAAGTATGAGGCACAAACTTTACTATTATACACTAGACAAGGGGCGTTCCTTTTACTTGCAAGTTTTTCCTTTAAGTGTCTGACCATTATACTGCTGAAACAAAGATTTGTGGTGCACATACTTGCCTAGAGTTTCTTTCTTTCTTTCTTTTTTTTTTTTTTGAGATGGAGTTTCGTTGTTACCCAGACTGGAGTGCAATGGCACAATCTCGGCTCACCGCAACCTCCGCCTTCTGGGTTCAAGCAATTCTCCTGCCTCAGCCTCCTGAATAGCTGGGACTACAGGCGCACACCACCATGCCCAGCTAATTTTTTGTATTTTTAGTAGAGACGGGATTTCACCTTATTGACCAGGATGGTCTCGATCTCTTGACCTCGTGATCCACCTGCCTCCTCCCAAAGTGCTGGGATTATAGGCGTGAGCCACCACGCCCGGCCCTTTTTTTTTTTTAATATGTATTTTTTCCTAATAGAGCGGGGGTCTCACTATGTTGCCCAGGCTGGTCTCGAACTCCTGGGCTCAAGTGATCCACCCACCCCAGCCTCCCAGAGTGCTGGAATTACAAGCATGAGCCACTGTACCCATCCACTTGCCTATAGTTTCTAAATGAACTTGACTTTAACCTTGGAAGCCACTCCTCTGGGCTCAGTTGTGCTTTGGGTTTACCTTTATCACAGTACTCATCA